TTTAGTGCTTCTGGTCTCAGGGTCATGGAGATTGATGTCTGTGGGGTCCGTTAATATACATTGTTTCCTTGAATCTTTGGTTTTCATAACTTTCCTCTGGTCAGAGAGAGACCACTAGTTTAAGATGAGGTTTAAGGTAGAGAACAATGTTAACCTGGATAAATTTAGAAGAAAAACATTAAATGAGGCCAGGGGCTACCTTGGTGAGGCCTGCACCTCGTGGTGCTTGGGAAGCACAGTGTCGTCTCATGGAGGCATTGGGCATTTCCAACATCTACAACTTGCAGTCCTGTCCCCCATGAAGTCAGTGTCACCACATAACCAGTTGTGGTCAATGAAATGAATGGAAGAGGGAAATGACATACGTCACTTTCAAACCATAGCATTTAGTTGTTGCTACAGGAGACCTGCTGCTTTGACAAGTCAACTTGGTAACTTTGAGTGGTGTGGTAACTTTGAGTGCTGTGCTTAAGTCACGGAGACTTTGGGGATGTTTGTTACTGCGGCCCAGCCTGGCCTGGCCTGTCCTGACGAGTAAACTCATCCTATTCTCATAAGACCCTTTGAGTAGGTATTCATGTCCAATTTTATAGAGCAGGAAATGTAAGCAGCTTGCTGAGCTCACTCAGCTAGAAGTGCAGGATTTAAACCTAGACGTATTTGACTTAAAACCATTCTTCTCCCTGTGGTCCTTTGAACGTGACAAAAAGCAGGGTTTGCATAAAAAGAAATTTCCAGTATTTCCTAGAACATCTGGGAAAGGCACATTTGTTTTTGTGACAACCCTGAAACTTGGACTGGGTACAGATCCATGGTGTGCTTACCTTCCCCCGAGTCAGAGTTGTTTGCTCCTCGGCAGTTTCTTTGGCCTTTGGGGCTCAAGGGGCAGCTTAGGCACAGCTGGACCCCCGATCAGAGATGGCACTCCTGGGGGAGAACATGGCACTCAGGCAACTAGATTAAGAAGACAGACATCAACATCAATGTTGTTGTTAAGTGCTGTCCAGTTGGTTCCTACTTACAGTGAACCAGTACAGGGTTTCCAAGGAACAGTTGGTGAGTTTGAATTGCTGACCTTGTGGTTAGCAGTCCAGTGCTTATCCAACAGTGCCACACCAAAACTCCAAACACTTGATAAATGTGTGTTGCAGTTGGATAAGCACTTCAAAACCAAGCACTATTCCTCTGAAATCCCATATAGGATTCCTATGAGTCAAAACGGACTCCATGGCATTTAACAACTAGCGTTAATGCACCAAGCACTGCGCATACATTATCTCACTACATTTTCAATTCTAACCCTGGGAGGTGGGATTTTCAACACATTTCATCAACAGGGACATGGAGGCCCAGAGAAGTTAATCACTAAAGGTCTTGAGGCCATAAGTGGAGGAACTGGGATTTGAATGCAAGCTGTAGAACCTTCATGCTAGGACCCTAGCTAGACTCCAGGAAGGCTCTGGTCCCCCGTAGTCCACTGGTGCACAGAGAGCAAAGGGTAGATTCCATGAGTTCAGAGGTGGAGAGCCCAGGCCTGGCATACACTGTGACTTGCTCAAGGTCAGAGACTAGGGCGTGGAGAGCAGAGATTTGATTCCAGGACTTGAATGGAGCTTCATCAGAAGCCTCTCCTTTTTCTCTCACTGGTATAAAACAAAAAATGCTGGCAAGAACCGGATGTTAGTAGTGTGTATTGTGTGTGACCTCCAGTATGGCCTCTCAGGCAGTCCCAGGACCAGGGCCGTGGGGACAGGGTTGTCTCTGCCAGCAGCAAAGCCCCTTGTGCTTCCATTTGTTTTCTTTCCTGTCTTGGGGCTCCCCATTCTTGCCCTGCTGGATAAAGCAAAAGTGGTCACTGAGTCACAGAGAAATGACAGAACCTCCCCTTTTGGGGGGCTCAGGAAGGGGGGCCCTTTATTCTCCCCTGGAGGCTGCAGTAGTCTCCTGCCACCCTCCATCCTTCCTGCCTTGGCTGAAGGGCCTTCCTGGTGCCAACTCTGCAGCCTGCTGGCAGGAGTCCCAGCGTTCCCACATGTGTGCAGGGTACATCAAGAATTGCTTCCCTTTGGTGAGGGGTGTGACAAGCCTGCCCCCACTGTCCCGGCTTGCGCCTTTGCCAGTTTTTTTTATTTTTTTTTTTTAATGTTTTATTGTGAATTATATGATAGTTTACATGGGAGAATATTAGCTTTACATTCATCCTATTGTCCTGTTCTTGCTTGCCTTCCCATGTTGTCTGGCACCTTCTAGGTCCATGCTGGTCTGCTCAGCACCTGTGTAGAGGTCACTGCAGTGTGGCTGAAGGTCTCTTCCCACCTTTTGGCTTCACCACACTGGGAGGGTCACAACTGCTGAATCAGGACCCTTACTTCTGCCCAGTCCCAGACCTGGGTGAACGGGGAGCCCTCAACCCTGTAGGTTTTCAGGGACATGAAAACTCAGAGTGAGTGAGTGTGGTCTCCAAAAGCTGGCAGTGAGACCCTCTAGTTCTGGGGGTCCTGATAAGAGAGGTGTGTGTGGGGGCACTCAGAACTGGGGAGCAGGCACCAAGGCAGAGGAACCAATCCAGAGGTCCAGATGGGCCCCCAAGAGCTGGGAGGAGTCCTGACCTGGACACAGTGCAATCAGCTAGGAAACACTAGTCCCCAGAGGCTCCAGGCCTGGGATGGACATGCACCCACTGCCCCAAGAAAGGAGGCTGGACGACATGGCTCCACAGTATTTCTCAGCTTTTAGGATTCGCTTTTAGAAGCTCAGAAGCTCCTCAGTCTGGCAAACAGAAACCCCTGGACAGTAGATAGAATTCACCTTGATGCTGAGATATTTAGATCCCTAGAAGGGACTACCAGGAGCCCTGGAGGCACTATGGAATACACACAGGACCGAAAGCTTGGTGGTTTAAATCCAGCAGGTACTCTGAGGGAGGAAGATGAGGGTATCTGCCCCCATAAAGATTACGGTCTCGGAGTCCCTATGTAGGGTCACTGTAAGTTGGAATCGATTTGATGGCAGTGGGCAATGGGTAGAAAGCGTTACAAAGGTCACCTAATCCAGGCCTCTGTTCACACATTAGAAACTGAAGCCTTGAGCAGGCAAGGCCTGGGAGTCACAAAAAGAATGCTTATTTTTAAAGGGAACTACACTTACCTACTTGGCATGAAGTAGGCCTTCAGTACAGGGCAGTTACCAGTGGTCCAGCAGAGCCCAGGCCTCCAGAGACCCCTGGTCCAGGCCCATCATCTAGCCTCGCTTTGTAAAAGTCCCCACTGCGTTCAGAAGCCCAATCAGGAACTGTCGTGAGCCTGGTGGCTTTATTCTAGAATGAGGATCTCTTGGTCAGTGAGGACCCCCACATAGGTCAAGGGTCCATACTGGTGCCTAGTCAGAAGCAGGTGAACAGAAGCGTGGGGGATGTTGGGTTACTTCAGAGCAATAAGACGTGCTGGGTTTCTGCTTTGGGCCCGACAGTAGGGGGACAAAAGTGGCAGATGCCTTGTGTCGTATCTTAAAATTGAGAGGTTACGCGGTGTGAGAGGCAGAGGAAAACTGGAGCTTAAACAGTGCTGATAGGAGATTGATGTGGGCAGTGGCTACACAATGTTCCCCCTTAAACTATCCTTTAAGCTGGGCATGTGTGTTTACATAAATGGAATGTGTGTTGTACCTTGTAGTAGGAGAGCTGTGCTGATTCTGAGTAAAGACGATTACCCTGGCTTGCTCAATACTGAGGGCAGCCCATGGTGCATGTCAGACACTTGGTACCACATCAGCTGCCCTCAACTGTAGTGTTGCCATGCTTAGCATCATGCTCAGATCCTGCCATACTCAAGACTTTGGGAATTCAAAACAATTTGCAAAAAAAGACAGTATACATTTGAGTTTTATTTTTAGTACTGAATATGTCACAAGATTTAATGACCAAATGAGTCATTTACATTTTTCAAAGATATCTAAATATAAAATTGCTAAAAATTCAAATACAGAATAGCAAGCTACAAATTCTATTTCTTTTGTTCTGGGGGTGGTGATGAGGGGAAGAGGATTGGAAGACATTAGAAAAGGATGCTTTTGTTGGCTGAATAAAGACCAGAATGAGAGAATTCATTAAAATGACCCCTTGTGCCAAGAAACACACTTGATTTTGAGATTGTGTTTTAGTCACATCTCTCTTTGTATAGCAATTTAAAAAATTGTCTCAGTTGCGAGTCTTCAGTGAAAGAACTAAGTTTATCAGCTCTGTTGGGGACAGTGTGAAAGGATGTCACCCTGGGATACACACTGGAGAAGTTGGCGGAGGGCCGCAGAGGCATCTGGTGAGGCCAGAGGTGTGGTGTAGTGGACGTCTGATCCCTTGCCTTTTCCAACCCAGGAAGATGGATATGCCAGGGGGCAAGTTTCCCTCCTCCCCCAGGATCCTGCTCACTGGTTTCCCTGATAGAGTGAAAAACAGCAGCTACTAGTCCGCTCCAACAAGGAGTCAGGCACTGGATGGAGAAGAAGAAAAGGGTACAAAGCCCCTTCAAAATCAGAGAGGCAGAGAAGATCCCAGTTCCAGGGACAATTCACATGCAGGTCGGTCAACTGAAACACACACTGGGCTAATTAAGAAATGGAAAAGTCCATTTCTGGCCGGGGTCTTAGGATGACCTTAAGACCAGCCATCTCCTGCTGTCATGTGTGGACCTGCAGCTTTGCTTCTCTGAAATCAGAGGTGCTGGGACATGCTGAGGAGACAAGGCTTTTCAAGAAGAAAATCACCCAGTTTGGGGCATACAACATTAGGTTCCTTTACTAAGTTGCAGTAAGATACTATCCTCAAAGCAATGCATTCATTTAAACAAATGGCACAGTTAAAACTATTGACTAAGCCCTAAACATTTCTTCTGAGAAATCGAGCCATAGCATTTCCAATCTGCCTGCTCAATATGGGAACAGATTTGAAAGAGAATAACATAATCAATCCTCTACCCCAAAGAATGGTCCACCATACCAACCATGATAAAGAGTACACCTGTTTATTAAAAGGAAAAAAGAAATGTACATTGTTTTGTTCTCCATATAAGAAATTTGATCAAGTTGCAAGGAAATGTCTGGGCATGGCTATGTACATCCTCAGGCAGGGCCACCAGGCAGTGAAGGCGGCTGGGCAGCACGTGGCTCCTCTTGGTGGCAGTCTGCCCCGGGCACTGTTTTCAAGGCCATTGTCACTCAGGCTCTGGTCAGGTCCATGGAAATGTCCCTAGCTCTTGTTAGAAGGTGCCCCTCCCCATATCTTTTCCAAGAGCCCACCAGTCCTGTGCCTGTCAGCCAGGGGCTGGCCTCCCTCCCCAAGACTTCAGAGGGACAAGGTGGGCTCTAGGGCCACCAAGGCCCTGGTAGGTAGGCTCTGAGCTGTGGCAGCAGATTGAGGCTGGAGGCCAATGTCATTGCTGCCCTGATTTCTTCTCCTTCTGGAAGCTGAAGCTTGTACGTCTGTTCAGTTTTCTTTGTTTTTGAGCAAAATAGTCTGCCCGGGCAGTGCTTGCTCGAGATTCCAGGATGTAGTTAACCTAAGAAGCAAGAGGACACAGCCTAGTCACTTGTCAGCCAGCTGCCAGGCAAAAAAAAGGTAGAAGAGAGGGGTCCTGGCTCAGGCAGGGGGACCCCCAGGCCTAGGTGCTCTCTTGTGGATGAGAGTCCAGTCTCAGCACCTTGGCAGCCCGGGACCAGAATGCTGGCTTTCTGATGGAAACCTGGAGGATGGTGATAAAAGGCCAGCCCAAGACCTTTCAGTCAGGAAGGGTGGAGCTGCTTCCTGGACCTAGAGTCCCTCCTCAGCCTGGGCTGCCCTCAGGAGATGCTTCCCTGTTTTGGGCTTGCACTACACCTAGTCTCCTCAAGTCTCACTTCCTCATCTCAACAACAGTTACAGGGATAAAACAAATCAAAACAAGACCCAGTATTCACCCTCTTACCAGTGGCACTGTGGGTTAACTTGCCTGGATTGCAAAGTCAGTTTAAATTGCAAGGTCGGCAGTTCAAACTCACCAGCTGCTCCTCAGAAACCCTATTCAGGGTTGTTATGAGTTGGAATGGATTCCACGGCACTAAGAACAAACTGACCAGGTACAGCACTTCTAATGATGGTATTTCATTATAAGCTCTCTGGATTCATATGACAAAAAGGAAAGCAAGACTCAGAGGAGGCCTGAAGTGGCCAAGGTCACAAAGCTGGTGTCAGGGCAAAGATCTGGACCAAGATGCCAAGCCCTGGACTGTCATGCCTCCCAATTCTTCGGACTCTGTCTCCGCAGAACCACTCTCTTACGCCCTCCCACTACTCCTTCCATTCATTGCCTGGGGCTTTTGTCAACAAACACCATTTCCCTTCACCCACAAAGAGCTGAAGGTTATATGACTGGGAACATTAATACTTTTGTCCAGAGAAACCAGTTACCACCCAGTTTGATTCTAGTTTAGGAGGCCAGGTGTCCTTGGCGCCTGGCAGGAGTGGCCTCTGCTGACTGAGAGGGCTTTCTGTGGAGGCAGGACAAGATGGCTGGTCTCATGTGGGGACAGGGCTCGGACACTGTGCCCCCACCATACTTTCTGCTCTGATAGTTATCAGCAGCAGGCGTTAAAGGCTGCCGGACGAGTACAGAAGGCCTGACACGCTCGGTCCACCACCTCGCCAAGTTACCAGCTGAGAGCAATAAATCATGAGGACCATGGGGCTGGGCTGACGACTTAGGACACTACAGTGTACGGAGATAAGAGGTTGATCATTTTTAATAAAAGCAATCTTTGGATTATATTGTTTGCACACTCAGCCAACCTAGTGTTTTCAGTGGATTTTCCACACATGTAACTTGGCAAAAACATTTTTTAAATGTTCCTTAACAAGCCAATTATTTCCTAAATTTATTATCTTCAGTGCTTTATGATAATCATAGATAATTTTAATGGAAGATTAATGTAATAATCAAAAGATAAAAACGCCCTTTGGTCTGCCATTAGCTGGTTAATATGCTGTGGCTTAAAACTTGCACAATTTTATGCACTATAGAGTGTTTCACTTTCAGTGCATTTTACAGCTTAAGGCATAAAAATATAGGGAGTTTTCATGGTCAATAAAGCCACAGCCTCCATCACTCGATCACAAGAAGAACCATTTTGAAGAGCCCAACGATTCCTCTGAGATTCATCTCAAAAGCCTGCAGAATTGGGACCGCACAGAGCTTAGCTCAATTATACCTGGAAGCGGACATGGGCAGGCTCTGGGACTCCTGAGGGGCTGGGTTCAAATCAAAGCTCCACCCTTATTAGCTCTGTAGCCTTGGGCCTGCATCTCCTTCTTTACAAAGTACGGATAATAATTCAGGGCAGTTGTGAATAGTAAATAGGTAATAAACAAAATACTTCACCCATAGTCACCGCCCAATAAATGGGAGGCATTAGCATTTCTACAACGGGAGAACCAATAATTTGATCCAGAAGTGTCTTGATAATTTCTTGGACATTGGCCTCTGGCCTCATTTTCTCCCTTCAGTTTCAGACTAACTCCCTAGAGTTCTAGAACAATCAAGTCTACTACTTGAGCCTAAGACTGACCAGTGAAGAGCCTCTGAGGAAACACTAAATATTTCTGTCAAGTGCACTGACACAAGCCTGCTGCCCCAGTGAGCCAGCTGCCCTGCTCAGTCACTCAAGAGTTGCGGCAAAGCTCACGAAGTCATTGTCCCAACACTGGGAAGGTGAATAAAGCTATTTAAATTGCTATAAAAACCAAAGACAGAAGAAGTGAGATTTAATCTTCCAACAGACTTATGCTCCTTAAGTGAATCAGGTCTGGGCACCTTGCACCTCTCCTAGTTTTGCATATGACACGCCATTTCTACAAACATTCTGATATGAAAACAGACATTTTGGACGAGGTGATAGGCCTCAGGGATTTTGCAGAAAAGCAGCTGCTTTAAGGAAGCATTTGGTTCTGTAAAATGATTTCTCTGCACTTGATCTTCTGCAGTCTCATATTGAAGTCATAAACCTACCTGTGTTTCTGTCATCAATCTGCTGTTGTAAAAATTATTTTGATGTCAAACACAGGATTATAATTTTACTAGATTCCTCCTGAAGTCTTGAATATTTTAATGCTGGCTATAAAAGAGTCCAGCTCCTGATGGGGTAGTGAATTTTTATTTTTTTTTAACCTAGTCTATGTACACTCTGGAGTCCTGGTGTGGTGCTGTGGGTTAAAGCGCCAGACTGCAAAGCCATTAGAACTGCAAGGTCGGCGGTTCAAGCTCACCAGCTGCTCCTCAGAAACCCTTAACCAGTTCGTTATGGGTCGGAACCGACTCGACAGCACTTCACAACAAACAATACAACAACGTACACTTTAAGGAGCTTGGGTAGAGAAGTGGTTACGAGTCAGGCTGCTAATTTCACAGTCAGCAGTTCGAAACTACCAGCGGTTCCATGGGAGAAAGATGAGGCTTTCTGCTCCTGTAAAGATTTACACCTTGGAAACCCTACACAGGGTCGCTATGAGTCATAACGGACTCCATGACACATAACCACCACTTGTACACTTTGCACAAGTTCCTTGTGCTATCTCCTAACAATGTGGTAAGTTAACAGTTTGCAGGCTTTAAGCAATCTAGGCAAGCCCTCTGTGTCCACTCCCTGGTTGGAGGAGGCTTTTGACCCAGGTTGGCCTTTGAACCCTTTACCTTTTCTGTCCAACAACCATGCTACTGTGTCTCGGCTCCAAAATGTCCTCCCAGCAGCTCTGTCCTTTTGAATGCCACTGACTACTTTTGAAAATCATGTGTAACCACGAGGACTTAGCTTCAAAATGTTCTTGCAAAGAGACTCCACTTTGCTGAAATCTCCCATTCAGCTCCTTGAGACTATACACACATCTGGGAGTTAGCAGCGTAAGTTCTGGTTCTGCCACTTAGAAGAGTTTTGATCCTGGCTAAGTTACCTATATTTTTAGGGCCTCAGTTTTCACTGGGAAATGGGAATACAGTTGAGCCTTGAACAACACGCGTTTTTGGATTTTGTGGGCCCACTGATAAATGGATTGTCTCCCTGTTGCTACTGGGGTGAGCTCTAGCATTGTGAGTATCCGCTTGATGGACAGACAACTGTTCACAAGGAGATGACTGGTGTTATATGGAGCGTTAAGTGGATACTTGCAACACCTGAAAAAAATCCTGCATATAAGTGGGGTCCACACAGTTAAAAACTCCTGTTGTTCAAGGGTTCACTGTAAATTATACCTGAATTTTCAACTGTAAGGGAGGTCTGTGCCCCTAACTCTTATATTGTTCAGTGATCAACTATAATTCTCTATCACCTACCTCACAGAGTTGTGAAGACTCAATGAAACATGAGCTGTAAAGCCCTTAGCCCAGGTCCTGCACTTTGCAATCTCTTAGGCTACTTTCATTATTGTCACCTGAAAACTTCTAGTACTAGGAAGGAATAATAAGCTAGGTAGGCTAGCCGTATCTCACTGAGTTTGTACTCTAGCAGCCCTTTGTGGGAGTGGGGTGGGACAGTAGGTATCTTGCTCCTTATGGGATAGGAGGTGACATCATGGACAGGGCTACCCAATTAGGAGTAGGGGTGTCCCCTTTGGTTCTGAGTCATGCCCTGCCATAGCAGTTCTACTTTTTCTATCTGATGGAGAAAAGATGATTTTCAGTTTGGAAACAAGAGTCTGAAAAGTACTAGCACAGGGCTGAGCTACTCAGAGGGTGGTACACAGACCTGAAGCCTGGGCAGCACCTAGGAGTATAAAACACACAATCTGGGCTCTACCCTACACCTCCTGAATCAAACAGACCCCACAGGATTACTACACCCAAAATCTCTTTTTTCAGCCAGACCCCAGTTTGCAAGGTTCTTTGGGTCTGGCTCTTCCCCTCTCATAACCACACAGCTGGGTCCAGCAGACTGAAATGCTCTCTGTTCTGACATGGTATTTGTGCCTTTTCATCCACCCTTCAGGAGTCACCTCTTCCAGCTCCCTGACCCTGAGTCAGTTTACCCTTTAAATACCCACATAGCATTTTATAATTAACTAAAATTCTCTCTGTAATTTCCTATTTCATGTATGTCTCTCCTGATAGAGGAAAAGCTCTCTGAGGGCAGGGAGGAGGTCACCAAGCACTAGCCTGGCACAGTAAGGGCTCAGTAAATATTGCTAACACCAAGTAACATACAGACTCCAACATAAAGTTGCTAATATCACCTTGTGTACAATTAAGGCACCTACAAAACAATAACAATTTCTTAGGAATTTGCTCCAGGAGCCTCCAGGAGCCCCTGGCAATGTTAGAGGAAAATAAATGATACATAAAAAGAACAGCTATGTACGCAATGAACTAAGATTGTCAGGAGGCTAGAATCTAAAAGGGGTTCAACTTTGGCTGAAGTGAGGTGCAAAGCAGCTTCCCTGAAAAGGGCACCAGACTGGAGCCAGAAGACCGGTGTGGTTCTAGGGTGGGTTCATCAGCTGGGTGACCCAGATGAGCTATCATTGCAAACTTGGGCCCTAGAGCTTTGCCTAGCGTCAAGGAGTGCTCCAGGTGTGCCTGGACAGAAACCCAACCTATACACCTAGTCCCGGGGTGGGGAAGGACTGCTCACTCACCTTGAGCACAATCTCATTGACAGTAGCAGCGTCAGATTCAAAGTAGAGGTGTTTGTAGTCATGATTGCTTAGATACGTGAGTTTAAATATTGCATGACCTGGAGAGAGAGAAAACAGTGTTGAGGACGGTCTGGTGATTTACCTATGGGGAGAATCCTCCAGTATTCTCCCTTTCTTATTCCAATTCAAGTGAGAACAGGTGGAGACAGAGCAGCAACTGCTCTTCTTGGGAAGCCACATTCTTCTATCTCAGGCTGCATAGCAAATGGACAGTAAAAGAAAACAAAATGAAATAAACAGATCAAACAGTTAATCCCATTCTACTCCAGAGTGTATTGGGGGAATGCCACATTAGGAAGACTTTACAAAACTACTTCTATACAATAATTACATGGAGATGGAGGTATTTTTAAGGCAGAAGGCTCATCAACACCAAATTATTACTCTAAAAATAAAATGAGCAAATAAAATTAATGAGCAACAGGACAGAGAAAAGCTAATGATAAGCTATTATTGAAGCTTCTCGCCTAGCCCTGCTCTTGCTGGGGGTGGTATTACATGGAAGGGGTCAATCTGGTCTTATGATGTTGCCTGGAAGCCTTCCCCAAGGCTCCTCCCAGAAAGAGGATCATGTCTACCATGGAAGGATGGGGCTCGGGTAGGATCTGCTGTGCTAAAGACTGCCTTGGAAAGCGGCTTCACTAAGCAAACTGATCTCAGTGCTCAGCGATCTGCTTAACACATAAATGTGACCTGGGTCCAAATTCTTTCATGTCCTTTTCCTACCACCTGCAGAATAACATTACCATTTTGGGGTCCACTTCCTGGTACAGCATAGCACACTCCTAGGGACTCGCACCCATCCTCCCCACATCCCCCAAGGATGCCTCTCTCACTGACCTGGCTGGAGAAAACTTTCCTATTCTTGGTGATTCGGCTCAACTGCTACTTCTTTGGATAAGTCTTCACAGCTACACTTCCTTGTACCCTGCTTGAGTTGGTGTCTCACACTGTACCCTGCCAGTTAAAGAAGTGTACTTATTATGAGACCTGCAGCCGTGTTTGTACTCTCCAGGCCAGACTGGTTAATCACAGTCCCTGTCCTACACTGGGGCAGAGCTGCCAGCCTAACTGAGCTGGTACAAGAATGAAAGATAAGTAAAACAAAGGGCTTTGGGAAACTTGGTTTCAGTTCCATATGCCCTCTCACCCCAACACATACCTCTCCTGTGGTCCTAGGACCCCGAGATCTCCCCAGAAATTCCTTTCTTCATAGGCTATTTTGAAGTTGACTGTCATTAATGATAACCAAAGGAGATTTGCCCACAAGAGACATGCAGTTGGCACTCCAACAATGTTCCTAAACTAAGGAGCAGCTCGGGACATCTCTTATGAGCTTCTCTAGTACACGTCTGCAGACCTCGGTGCTTTTAAAATGAAAATTCAGCATATCCTCTTTATTATGCCCCCTCATCCACTGTCCTTTTAATTGAAGCAGTGGCTGGTCAGTTATTAATTAATAATATATCACCCATATTACTGTAAGTTCACCTCTTTCCCGGAGAAATCTTTTCAGGGACTTTATTTACAGTAGCTAATTCTTCAGATCTCCAAAAATAAACTGATATATGTTGTACATTTGTGGCCAGAAAATTTGTGCTGCTGGTATTTTATCCTGGAAACATCATTATGATATACTAATTGTGACTATAAATTCTATCCAAAAAATTAGCTAATAATTTCTGAAAAACCTCACTTTCAATCACTTGACAAATTCAGCCTGACTCTAAATTGTACTAAAATGTTAAAATTCGTGACTGGAAGCTAAATATCACTTGTTTCTGGTAGGGAAGTGAACCTCACCTATACAGATATATCGATACTTACGTGTGTGTGTATGATTTGTTGTTATGTATCATCGAGTTTGTTCTGACTCATAGTGATCCTGTATAGGGTTTCTAAGGAGTGGCTAGTGGGTTTGAACTGCTGACCTTTGGGTTAGCAGTCGAGTGCTTATCCTACAGTGCTACCCCAGGACACCTGTGTATGTATACACACCTCATATATACACACTTTAGTTTCACAGGGTCTACCTAGGGACATTAAAGAGTCTAGTCTGATAATGCCACTGTGTGGAAGAACAATGTAATTTTTTTACTGACCACACTGTGACCAAGGAGAACATCTATGGAGGACACAGAACTGTGAAGGACAAACAGTGACACCTCTCCAGGAGGTCTTACTGCTGACACCTGGCCATGACAGACAGAAACCAGGGCCTGGGGCTAGGACGGACCAGAAGGTCTTAGGGAGGCCTGCAGACTGTACGCTTCGGGGTTCACTGACCACTCTGATAAGTGATCTCATGGACTCTCTGCACCACCTGCTCCCACTCGTCACTAACAAAACCAAACCAAATCCCAAGATGAGCATGTTCTTTCTGAACAACTGAGACACATTAAAAATATTTCCTGCACTTTTCAGGTTGTGCCAAATCTGTATATGCAGTTTGCACGGGCCTGGGAGCTTCAGGAAGGAAACTTTGACACTGAACCCTTATGATCGCAGGGCCTGTGGAGAGTATCAAACCTGGGCTCACAGACAGGACAAGTGCAGTTCATATGCACAACAGTAACATGAAAAGATGAACTAACCCCATGCCAAGCCTCCTGTAAAACGACATGTTTAGGCCAGGTGACCCCAAACAGCCCACCTTCTGTATTTTCACTATGTAGGCAATGCTCAGGAGCTCCATGTGGACCTCACATGTCCCAGAGCTCATTTCATTCCATAGCTCACCTGGGGAAATGGATATAAACAATGAAGAAATCCCAACCCTCTCTCTTATACCTCTGATTTATTTGTTCTTGCCAGTAGAAACATTCACACCACTAAGAGGAGTCAACACAGAGAGGAACTAAGTTACCCCAGTACTTGTGATGGAATTTTAAACAGTCCTGTTGCAAAGAATTAGAGTCTCAGCTGTTAATAACCCAGGTTAAGGTCCAATGGGGCAGCAATGGCAGTTAGCCTCCTTCTGGCTCTATTGGGAAGAGCTTGAGTTTACAGCTCAGGTGAAGAGCAGTGGAAATCAAGTTTCCATTCCCATTGGAGCCACAGGGTTGACACACTCCAAGAGAGAATATATTTTGATGAGTTTCCCCTTCATTCCAGGGAATTCTTTGTTTTGCTAGAAAAGACAGTTTTCCTCAGATCAGGCCCTCCAGGAGCAGAGGCCAGTACAGGGAAAAGAAAAATGAACAATCAAGTATGATCAGCAATAAAAGCAAACACAGGGAGCGAGCTGCAGTGGAGACACCAAGGCAGGAGCCGTCTACCCAGTTTGGGGAATGGATAGAGGATAGCTGGGAAAATAGGAGGTGGAGAAGGTATGAAAGAGGAAGGGGGCAGAAGGTAAGGAGGTGGCAGGGTCACAAGTAAGGAGATGAGGCAGCACTACAGCTGTGGGAGCTCAGGCTTAGGAATGGGGAGGGACTACAAAGGGCTGGAATACCTCCACTCACTAGCTGGTGGGGCCACCAGTGGGCTTTAAGCAGAACAGTGAAATGAATGGTCGCATTGTGTTTTAGGGCACTTATTTGGCTTTCTGGAGCTTGGAGGCAGGGTTTCCAGTTGCCACCATGGTCCAGGTAGGAGTGCATGCAGTTCTGAGCTTAGATAGGGGCAAAAAGGGGCTGGTTTGAAAACAGAGAAAGTAGTGTTGGCAGGATCTATGCTTTACAATAGCAGCTAATAAGCAGAATTCATACTTGGATAATTTCACCTAGTTCAAAACCTATATATTAAAGTGCAACAAGTTAATTAACCTCTTGCTGGAAAACAAGTGTTTTAATAAACATGGGTGATTATTAGCATTTCACCAGATGTGTCTGGGAAGAAGGCATCACTGATGGAAACAGTTAAGATAAGGCTGTTGTAACCTTGGCTATATCTAGGCTCATCTCAGAGGGATCAAATGACCTTTGTAGCAGCAGCCAGCATGTGGCCTGGGGCACAGAGGTGTGCCAGAGGTGGGGCAGAGTTACCCTTGAAAAGTTAAGGAATGATCAGCAGTTCTTAAGAGGTAAGCCATGGGAGCAAAGGATCAGCTGAGAAAAAAATTATATTCATGGAAGCTAAAAAAAAAATCATGGAAAAATAGAATGAAAAGATAATGGAATTTTAACATGAACTTTTGAAGCCCGTTGTATACTTTGAAACAAAATACACAGTTGAATGTTCTAATACATTCAAATTCTTTTTCCTGGATTGTTAAATTCTGTTTGGAAAGTAAGGCATGACAAAAGCCTGGGATACAGACAGGGAAAAGCCTGGGCTCCAGGAATAAGATTTAGAAAGGAATTCCAGCTCTGCCCAGGTCCAGGTATAAAGGAGGCAGGAGCATCTGTGGTTGGATATTATCAGGGGCTTACTACGTGTGGTGGAGATAATTTTTAAAACTGTGATCGAACTAATACTTAAACATGCTCATTATTTTGAAGATTTTGTTTTTAAGTGAACTCTTTTGAGCAGACTTGCAACTACACTACTACAGGAAGACACTAATATAATGGTATAAACCACGGCCTTTAAGTACTGGTCACATGTACAGGACAGATGCTGAAACTATGTATCTGCCTCTAAATATTGAAACAAAACTCTGGAGAGGCAAAAGTGTAGTTACATTTTTTTTCTTTTCTTTTCAAAGTAAAACAGAGGAGATGGGCTGCAATACTGAGCAGAAACTAATTAGCATCACAAATGTCAAAGTGGAGACCGTTGAGTTTTGGGCTGTAATTTATTTTCTGCATTTATGAATTTTAACTAAAACAAGAGGCTGTATTGAAAAAACAGTTTCCTCTGGCCAATTCCATAGTGGTCATTCTGAAAAGACTGCTGTTACTGGATAGGACAAGCATAAGCAAACAGGGACAGTGTATATCCTCCGCTGAAAGAAGTGCTTACAGAGGATGTTGTTTGAAAGGAGACCCCCTTCTAACACAAGCTGCCAGCAATGACTGAGGCTGGCAGTGAATGCATGCTGCTAGGACTTCCAAGGGAACCTACAGCCTGCCTTTGTCTAAAACTACAGGTGTCA